TACGTCTCATCGCGCGTCGGCTCGATCCTCCCTCTACGGACAGGTCCTAGGCCAAGGATCCCCTGAAATCGTAACGCGCACAAAAAGGAAGTAGTTAACTCGGCGTAATCCGTAGTGTATAGATAATAGATACCATGACCCTCAGACAGTCATTCATGGCATCCCATCCCAAAGTCAGGTGAGTGTGTCTCCAAATTTAACCATGAAATCAATTCTATTTTCGTACCTGGAAGGATACTGCTCAAAACGTTTCAGGAGTATCGAAAGTAATCCAAATAATACGAATCATGGGGGGGGGCTAGTTCGTGTACAGTATCGAAGTACCGCGGACCATCCACAAAGATGCGTTCGTTTCGAACGTCAACTTCTCTTGATGTGGTCTGGGGTTCAGGAAAGTCCCTTCCACCCTCTCTTGATCACCAAAAACCATGGACCCTGCTCCGACAGATAGAGAGCGTATCCCGCCGCGTGCTTTCTAATATTTCCACAGCAGTTTGACATGTGTAGTGTATGTTTACTTTAAGACAACCCAATCTGCTGTGCTGTGGTGCATGTATGCAGACCTGCGTTTCGGATCTTTCCAGCATAGCGCAACAATATTGAACTTTGATCGCAACATGCTTGTCTTCTGATGGATCAAATCGCTCCAAACCTTTTGTAAAAGATGTCAACAGTACCTGAGTGCATGATATTGGCTACATTTCGTTGCAACACGATAGACTCGTGGAGAGACTGCAGCGCATCCGACCCTTACTCGGAGATTTCCGAGTTGTCCTACGGTGGTACGCCCTGAGAAAAAACTGGAAATCTACCCCTACGGACTAGCCCCGACTGTATAAAACAAAGGCTGCACGGTTGACAGATAGCTAGCTACCTCACCTATCTCAGCCGGAATATCGACGCTCCCAGCCCTGCTGCGCCCTATGAAGCCGGCCGTGGGAGGCGAGGTCTTGAGTTGTTGCGCCGCAAGAAATTGAGGGGTTTCAGCAGGGGATGGCTTCCCGCCCGAGGCGTTATGTCTCACACTTTTTTTTTTTTATCAGACGTGCAGCACTGCACCCGAGCCTACGCATCTCGACGGGAGCGCAATATATGCACACAGACGAGAAACAAAACCTACATAGTCTAGACTATACATTGTAGCCTTGTAGACAAAAGTGGGATTCCGACACCTTTCTCAGTCAAAAGTGGGCACTCGAAAAAATGTTTTCTTTGTTTGCGGAAGGACCCCGCTCATGACAGGGCACAACCACCCGAAATTTCATTCCGAGCATGGAAAAACATCGGCAGGACCCATGCACAGCATGAACACAAACTTTTTTGGACATCCGGGCACGTCGTCACCCTACATCGTACACACGGTCGGCCGCGGCGCACAAGGCCGCGACAAAAAAGGTTGCCCGATTTTGTCCGAAATTTTGGTGGGTACAAGTAGAATATAACCTACCGGAATGATCTGTTATTTTCAACTCACCTTGCCTTGGCTGCTCTGTAACCCACTTTTTTTGTCCGAATTGTACCCATGCACAAGATGGCTCCAAACTGTCTTGTTGACCTTGCTACCCACGGGGGAGATATCGCTGTGTGCTGCTCGGGAGATCAAACGTGGAAACACAGGTAGCCTTCGCTTACGCTATTGTTGTTGTTGTTGTTGTTGTTGTTGTTGTTGTTGTTGTTTTCTTCACATTAAAATCGTGTCAGTTGCTAATCCCAAAATCTAGCAAAGACTCGGTCCGTGGTCACAAAAATGCTAGAGCCATCAGAAGATCTAAAGAACACACACACTATTAGCAAGGAAAGGGTACGCAAGCCCGAGGAGGTACACCTGCAATCCCTGCAGCACGTTTGCGCGCTCACAACTGAACTACGCTCACAACTGAACTACACGCCCACACACTACAAATCGACTACAGCAGCATCACCCCCCTTGTCCCTCATTTAACCAAAATGAATGTTTGTCGACTACAGCGTACTGCTGTCTGAAGCGCTGTCTGCACAATAATAACACCATTGTGCATGGTACACAAGCTCGGGGCATGGAGCTGCTGTCTGAAGTGCTGTCAGAATGAGCCCGTTGACATACAATGAAGAAGAACGCCCAACCAAAGCCATCATTGCAATTGACAATCACCCGAATCTATCCAGATCATCTATGTTGGGCACAGCAGTGTAAACATCGACACTGACTAGGAATCGTTCCACGTTGAAGGCGTCTTCCACGATGCAGGTACACAATAAAGGCACCCGGGTTATCCGCGCCATCTCTGCCGCGTCTCTCTACAAAACCAGTGACGTCCTCACACACACCCAACACCTGTATTCAGGAAAAAAACGGAAAAATAATTGACAATACGGATGGCAAAAAAAAAAAAATACAAGAGATGTTTGTCCGTGCGCCACGGTTCGATTCTGTCCGCCTGCTCCTGTTCCGCTGCTCCGGTGCCGCTGCTCCGGTGCCGCTGCTCCGGTGCCGCTGCTCCGGTGCCGCTGTGGCCAGTCCTAGCACGACCAGACTCGACCCGCTCCGCTTCGAACACGCTCTCGTTGCTGTCCTTCCCAGTCGGTTCCTCGCTTTCTCCCTCGTTGCACTTAGGGTTCTTGTTCTGAAGATTCCCGCCCCGAAGGGTCAACCAGCCCAATCAGCTCGTCACCACCTGTCCCCTCCTCCTTTGATGGCAAAACCAGGTTACTGAGACAGTACAGCTCCCTCTAGCAAACCTAGGGCCGTGTACATAGTGCCCGTCCACCTTTCTGATGACGTCTGCCTCCGCGCACAAAGATGAGATGGGCACTGCTGCCTACACCGACGGCCTGGAGGCCCGCGCACCCTTGTCTTTGTACCTGACGCACCAGTGCCGACCCAACTCCACCACTACGCACGCCTCGCGGCGGGTGCGCCACAGCAAGAAGGTATCGGTCCCCTGAGGGTGAGTCTAGCCCTGCTCGCTAGAAAGACCCCCCCCTCGCTATGGGTCATTCCTACGCAAAACCTTGCCGAGGCAGCGAGGGGAAGAAAGGGCGCTATTACTATGGATTCATTGCTAATCTATCTTACTTGCTATAGACTCTTTTCTTTAGTCCAGATGGCCAGAAGAGAGAGATGGATTCGTTGGGTCATTAACAAAATGTCCCAACCATTGGGGAGATATCACTGTGTGCTGCTCGGGAAATCGATGAAAAGCAGAACTTTCGTTGACTCTATGGATTCATTGCTAATAATCTATCCACCTTTTTTCTTCGATAAAGCTGGATTCGTTGTGGTCATACTGATGAAATATAAAACGTGTACCCCTGTTCGTGGTCCGACTGTTCATTCGAGGATCAACCTCCTCGTCACCGAACGGTGACACTTTTCGATTGTAGAAATCGGACAAAAGTGGGTACATTTCGGACAAACGTGGGTCACAGAGCAGACAAAGAGGTGGGTACATGAAAATATTTGTAGTAGGGTCCGGTACATAGACTCACCGGAATTTCGGAATTTCGAACACAATATCGGGCAACCTGTTGAGGCCTCATTCGCAGCGGTTGTTTATAGGGTGAAGATGTGCCTGAATGTCAAAACGAGTTGACGTTCATGCCATGTATGGGCCCCGCCCATGTTTTCCATGCGTCGGAATTATATTTTGGGTGGTTG